GTCACTGGAGTGGTGAACAGAGACTTTTTCTCCAAGGTGTTAAAATGAATTTCCTCCACTCTTGGAGAAGAGGACAAAGTTGGGTGCCCTCTTATTTGTGTCCTTGGATGTTTTTCTCAGATATTAGTAGGAGAGGCACCTATGTAGGAGCCTACTTGTAATACCAGTTCAGATTTGATGCTTGGCTATCCAGTTGGGTTGAGCGTGACTCTTCTTTTTGATCAATGTTGGTTCAGTACATTGTTCATGGAAGAGGGTACATTGTCTCCTTGTAATTCTGAATGCAGATTGGTCCCGTCCTGAGTCCTTGGTGGAGTACAGTTTGTTCCATGTCCTCCCTGTAATGAATGTTCATAATTCCAGACTAGATGAATTCTGTTTCCTCAGATAGAGTAAGGCATATAAGATCCCATCATTTCGAGGTGTTAACTTTTGGACTTCTTCAGGTTGAAGAGAAGGTTTGTCCACTTCAGTGCTGCTTACCTTCTTATCATGATTCTGGTGGCTCAGAATGCATCAATAATAAGTATGTATATATACTGCACTCCAATTGCTCTAGCCACCAACATAGGATATAGGGATCATGGCCCTATAAATCCAACCCTAAGCATTGGAACCTCAGCTGTCTAGTTGGAGCCTGGCCAATAGTGATGATAAATCATGGAAAATTCCACCCACAGTACATGAATTAAGTTCCGGGTAAGAGCATACCTGTTTTGGATGTAGCGCAGTTCCTCCACTAGGGTGCCAACCTTCTATTGACACACTCATGGTCTATGCCGATGTTTTCTGTATGGATAATGCCTTCATCAGCCCTTCCACCTTATCAATGTGGGATTCTAGCTGTAGTGTGAGAGGATATAAGCATGTTTTTGGAAGTTAACGTTTCTTAAATCAAAAATGTATTTCTAATAATACTTACCTCTGATCACACTCTCCCACCCTTCCTCCCCACTAAGAGCCAGTGTTAGAGACTGTGGATTGAGTCAATCTCAAAAAAGTGATAACATTATCCGAATGAGGTTTTTATATACAGTACCAGGATAGAGGGCGCATTGACATAGGTGGAGAGTGTCACGAGACAAATATTGTCAAGGGCAATTAAGTGGGATATAAAAAACTAGAGCAAGCAAAACAAAATCATACCAATGCTTAGATGGGAAAAGGAAAAAACCCTGGCAGTCAAGTAGTAGCTGCAGTGTGAAAGGGGGTAAGTATTATTGGAAATACATTTTCAATTTATGAAAATGTTAACTTTAAAAAACAAAAAAACAATACATTGCTGACCACTTAATCTTGGAAAAGTCTATAACTATTTTAATACAGCATGGTCAGTGACAACTGTGAATTCTTTGGCATTAAAATACCTATTGAGTTTTTCTGAATGCTAGCAGAGCTAAACATTCTAACTCTGTATTTATGGGATTTGTTTCTTCTGTTTCAGTGTTCTACTATCATATGCTATTACATCTTTCTAGTGTAGAACTGTTCCTAATCCAACATTTTAGATATCTGTATGCATAAGAAGTGTTCACCCTTCATAGGAAATGCAAAACTGGGGCCGTTATCAACATCTTCTTTACCTTTTGGAATGCATCTTGACAATGTGGAGTCCAGTTCCACTTAACACACTTACTCCTTAACTAGTATAAGGACTCACCAAATGTAGTAAAGCTAGGAATGAACTGATTATACCAAGTACACATACTTAAAATGGTACTTAATTCCTTACAATGTTTAGAGTAGGAAAATCTATTAAAGATTTAACCTTTTCATCATTAATGTTTCTTCCTCTCAGGAACAATTGCAAGTCCTAAATAGAATACTTTTGGTTGGTAGAGTTTACTTTTACTAATTTCCACAGATGGGTTAGTCTTACATAGCTTATTAAAAACTAATGTGAGTTCTGAGATGTTGTTCAAATGTTGGTGAGAACAGCTTTGTCTTGTCTGTGCTAATTGAGTCTTTTGTTTCAATTAACCCCAAAAAATCTCTATTTTTTATTTTATCAGGATATACTTTGATATTTTCAGAACCTTTCCGGGAAAGAACAATAACAATACACAGTTCATACAAAGACCATTCAATGAAATATAATAATCTAAGGCACAGTTAATTTACCAGATGTCTATATTTTCTTCTCTTAAAGACATCAAACCTGAAGTGTTGAAAAGGTGAGGTGTTTCCAACCCCTGTAGCTGCTTGGTTTATGTTATAGTAGTTAATTGACTTCAGGAACAAGTAATTACGTGGTTTATTTTACAGTATTTAATGTAGTTCTCCTACAAGCAATTACTTGGTTCCTTTTAACTGTCATTTTTCCATAGGATTTTTAAGATTGAAATTTTGGTGTAGGTTTAAACTTAGGTATTTTCTTTCTAAATTTGTAATTCATTCTTTGAGTGGTCTTGTGGTATATATACATATTTAACATGATTCTATTTTATTTTTATCTGCTAATACAAAAGAAACATCACAGTTCTGATGCTTTTAGACCCTTCAAAGTTGTTAACTTTTATATTTTATATACATATGTACTAGATTTTTAGCATTAATATTATTTAACTAATTTTTATACTGTTACTAATCCAGGCAATAAAATATTTATTAATTGAAAACAATAGCTCAAAACATTATATTTGATTTTCTAGTAGAAAAATTACCACAAGTTTCTGCCATTAATTTACATGTTTTTGTTACATTTTCATTTCAAACACAGCTGTTTTTTTTTAAGTTAACCATAATTTACTCTCAGGAAGTTAGATATGAATAAGTATAAAACCCACTACTTGGACACAAAAACGGCACTATAATTTTGTCAAATATGTACACATTGCTATTTTATATACAAGCTGGCTGTGGAACAAATAATAAGTAAAATTAACATAACTGTCAATTTGCACCTGCATTACTATGAAGCTGCTGTTGTTGTAAATATATCATGTTATATTCTCTCTTTTCATGAGAATAGTAGTGAAAGAACTCGCTGGATGGAAGCTGTTACTCCTTCAACTTCGGAAAACCTGAACGAAAAAATTTATGAAGAGTGGGGTAAGCTTTGTTGTAAAGCAGTGTATGTGAAAAACCTCATTAATTAGAACTCTGAATGTTCTTTTTACAGTTAGTTAATGTGCATATTTGTATATTTTAATTCATATAAATTGGTGTAAACATTTAATTGAAAACTTGCTAATTTGGTAAAATTAGCCTAGTTCTAAATAATCATTGGATTCATTATTTCATGAACATATAATCTACATAAACATATGCCAATCCAAAACGACCTTAGAGTTTAATAAAGCCAACAGTCTGCTTTAGCTTAAACAGTAGCTATTGTCTCGTTGTTTGGAAAACTTTACTCAGCTCTTGAGTCAACAGTAGGCAAAGTTGGTGAACAAAATTTTGTAGACCCGTTATTGAAATACATAATGTTCAGGATGAAATAAAACATTTGCAATTTTTAATTCTGGAGAAATGTAATAAGCATTATTATTTAATGCATAATAAGTAAATTATGCAAATAGAAAAGACTAGAGAAGTTTTATTTCTTCTTTTATTTTGGTTACATAATTACTGTTTTGTTTGATACGTAAATACGTTTATTTTATTTGGCAAGGTTTTATGTAAAACAGCTGTTGGCAGAAGGCATTATTTTCTAATTATCTTAAATGAAATCACTTGAAAAGTAACTGAACTAAACAAAAATGTTTTACTAAATGACTAGGCATAAAACATTTTATATGCTTATGACTTGTCACCAAATTAACACCTCCACTTGTGCCTTTGTCACTGCAAATGACAAAGCTGATTGACAGCAAGTAAGCTAACCCATTACTCTTTTAAAGAAACACATTCACTACTTCAGTTACTTTTGTTTCTGGTTTTACTTCTCATATTCCTATGTTCATTTAAATCCTAAGAAAACTATAATAACTCCAGTGTCTCTTCTTTGGATATAATTTTTCCTGCGTTTCCTAATAACTTCAATTACCAGTGTCCTGATTTTACATCTCATAATTTTGTATTTGTTACTTAAGATCCAATAAAACTAATAACTTTTAATTATTTTATTTGGATATAACTTTCCTGTTGTACTAGTTTTAGACTAAAAAGTTCAGTTACTTTTGTTCAAAGTGAATTTAAGAGCCTAGATTCCAGTCAAGACCTGTTTTTGAGATTGTATTCAGAAGCAGGTTCAGAGTAAGTATTCATCTTTTTTTAGGCTCTAAATATCTGAAACTTATTTTAGATTGTCCTCAAGTCCAGTGTATTGAGAACTACCAGGCTCAACAACCAGATGAACTGTCCTTGGAAGAAGCTGATGTTGTGAATGTGTTTCGAAAGATGGCTGATGGTAATATAAAAATTTTATTACATTTGTGACTGTTGTTGATTTCTCATGAATTTGTTATTAATTACTATATAAGTCATTAAGAACAAAATTGTGACTCAGTTAACAAAATAGTGAAATGCAATCGTCATAAAAGACCTTAAGAACAAAATTCTGACTCGTCAGTTAACATACTAATGAAATGTAATCACCATAAAGAACAAAGCTTTTAACTCCTCAGTCAACAAAATGGTAGCACCATAAAAAGCATAAAGAAGATTGTTGGAACATTATACAATGTTAGATATGTAATGTTTAGCTAGTCTCCATGTGCTTTCTGTTATTTTTTGCTCATTGTGAATATTGGAGTATCACAGGATGTTATAGTATTCTCAGGTTCACTAATTTTCCTTCAAGTAATTATGTAGGAGCCACAGAATAATTGGAGGTTTGCCAAAAATGTATTATGGGACAAAATCTGAATTCTCTTAACCTTGATTGAGTCCGAAGCAAAGAAAGAAACTGGACACAATGTATCACACAGTGAAACATTCTTTCTTTCCAGCACTCACAAAAAAACGACCAAAGCTTTTGAAGAGAAATGTATTTTGTATCTTTACTATAGTATGTCCTTAGATTGAGTCAGTATATACAGTAATCAGAGCAATGTTGTTCTTAATAATCTTCTTGCAGACTGAGAAAAAATATCATTATATAGGAAGAACAACAGCTCCATTATTTTCAAGGTTTTGTTGCCACCCACTTGACTCAAGTTACAAAAATAATAAAAAAGAATACCCATTAACATAATCAAAGTAAGACAAAACCCTTAAAAATCACATTACAAAAAGTACAAAATTCAAAACTCTTTAAAAATTACATTACAAAAAGTACAAAATTCAAAACTCTTTAAAAATTACATTACAAAAAGTGCAAAATGTAAAATAACTGTAAAAATTACATTACAAAAGTCGTTACAAAAAAAAGTTTTAAAATTATATTAAAAATTAAAAATAAAAAAATGTTTAAACATCACATAAAAATAATTCTTTTGCAGTTTTACAGCAATAATAAAAATGCTGAAAGTCCAAATGTGAAATAAACCCTTTAATACAGCAAATTAAATTTGAGATAAAATAAATCCCTGATCATCACATAAGAGATACAAAAATAAAAGAAACCATTCATCAAAAATATAGACCCTATCAGAATACAAAATGTGACTCCTTAACAAAACATACTAAGATCTCAAATACTAAGTAAACCATGAAAAGGATAAATAATATAAAATATTACATGTGTACATATGTACACGTTTGCTATTACAGCTATAATGCATGAAATTAAGGAAATTTCATATTTTAGTATCATCACAAACATATGAGTTGTATGTGACTAGACAGTACCTATATTAATGTTAAAATCCATTTAATTATATACATATGTACACAGTATTCTCATATATGGACATAGAAATATGGAACAAATAAAAAGTCTTGTGTACATATTTATAAAGTTATTGTTTTAATGACAACTCAACCCTATCAGCTCTTAATTTTATTTGAAAAGTTAGAAACATAATTTCTCAGAAAAAAAGCAGATAAATATATTAAAAATTATAACCTCTTATTATTGATTAATTTGAAGTAGTAAAAATTTAATAAGCAATTTTTAAATTAGAGAAGAGTTTGATACATAAAAAGTTGGAGAGAGTTTATAATGAAGTTTCTTTAGATACTTTAAAACAGCTTCAAATGGACTAAGTTTAGTTTAGAAATCAACTATTTCATCATTGTCATGGTAAGCAGCCTATATTGTTAGATGTACAAGACTGTTTAGTTTAAGTGTGATTATTTAGTTTATTGTTACACATGATATTTAATGATTGTATAGTTTTTGGAACAGGAGTGTTGAAGATGGATTATTTTAAAAGTGTTAGTTGTGATAAATTTCGTTATGTAACTGTGTACAAATCATACGTTGTATTTGCAATTACATTGTTGTCTAGGCTTTACTAATATTGTTCTGGTCACGTTACTCAAATCTTCAATATTTTTTCTCATTACCTTAAGTGAGTATTGTTACCTTACAGTGGCACTCGTGTAGTTTAGAGAACATTTGAGGCCTCAGTTGGACAATGTATAAATATAGGCGACCAAGTGAGCACAAGTCAAGTGAAGTGAAGTAAAGTAGAGAAAAAGTGCAGTTCAGTCAGAAAATTATTTAGAATTTTAGATACAACTGTGATATCCTATAAGGTAAAGAATTTCTGTACATATGTTTGACTTGTTTTCAATGTATTTTATTTGGTTATATTATTTTTAAAGAAGTGGGCTGTGTACTGTCCATTTATTGTTGATATTTAATGCCAACAAGTCATAGACACCTACTGTGGGAGAATCCTCAGCCCATACTCACATATTCAAAACTCTGACATTTGGTGAGCCAGCCAGGATTATATAGTGGTAAATGATGGTGAAAAGAAGATTTGAATGACAGCAGGAATAAGTAGGCCTATATACATACAACTGTAGTGGTGACAAAAAATAGTGTAGAGATTACAGTCACATAATATAACCATGCCAACAGATTTTGATAAATGGATAGAAAGAGGTGAATGTCTTGCATTAAAAGATAGTGAACTACAAGAGTTTGTTAAACAACAACAAGAACTAGAGAGAGAAGAGTAGCAACAGAAGAGAGAGAGAGGAAGAAAGACTGAAAGAAGAAAAGGAAATAGAGAGAGAGAGAATAAGAATACAAATTGAGAAAGAAGGAAAAGAAAAGGATAGAGGAGACAGACAGCAAATAGAGAGAATAAGAGCACAAATTGAGAAAGTAGATAAGGAGAGAGAGGAAAGATTGCCAACCTCACCCAACAGAAAGACAAAGGACCCAAGAATGACAATGGGGTCAGTGCCAGCCGACCCAAGCTGCCCAAATTTAATGAACAGAAAGATGACATGGATGTTTTCTTGGAGAGATATGAAAGGTTTTTCCAAAGTCAGAACTGGGACAAAGGCAACTGGGGTAGTCTGTCTCAGCCCACTTCTCACAAGTTAAAAGTGGCCATGCTTCACAAGATGGACTGACATGGCCAAATGTAACAGTAGTTTTGAGGGACTGGCAGATCTACTGATACATGAACAGTTCATGATCACATGCTCAATTGACATGTCACTGTTCCTAAAGGAGAGAGCATCAAAAGATGTGGAGGAGATGATCAAGCTGGCAGAACAGTATATGGAAGCCCATGGAGGGAGTATAACTGGCAAGTCTAAGAATATCCAGTTACAGTGAAGACAAGTGGTGGCTGACCAGGAGCACGAGTCTATCAAAAGTGACAGGAGATTAGCAGACAAATGGGAGAAGAGATGCTATATTTGTTATAAAATAGGGCACATTCCAAAGGAGTGCAAGTCCATTACCAGCAAGAAATGGCAGAAATCTCAACATAAAATAGTTGGAGCTACTTACAAAGATAGTGCTAGTAAGAAACCAGAAAATAGTGACTGTCACCATGGATGCTGCTGCCAGAAGAAACAGAATCAAGAAAACACGTCATATTCACCACAAGAAGAAAGTGCCATTTCCATGATTGATCAGTGCACAACTAATGGTTGGCTGAAATTAGCAAATGGATAAACAGTGCCACTAGTGTTCTAAGCATGTTACAAATATCGAGAGGTGCGAACAAATCGTAACATACCACTATGTAAAGGCTATGTCAGGACAAAAAAGTGGAAAGTCCTGCAGGACACTGGGTGCAGTAGTGCAGCAGTGAGAACCAGTCTAATATCTGATAACCAGATGACGGGCAGGGTACGCCTGTGTGTGCTAATTGATGGGACAGTGAGAAAGTTTCCCATAGCAAAAATAAAGGTGGATACTCCATATTATGTAGAAGACCTTGAAGCCATGTGTATTAAGGAACCAATATATGACTTGGTGATTGGAAACATACCAGGTAGTAGGAATTTGGAGAAAGCAGACAGAAAGAGAATGGATGAAGCATCTGCAGTCACTACAAGAGCTCAAGGGAAGAATGCAAAGCAAGACATCAAGCCCTTGTAAGTATCAAAGAGTGACATTCCAAATGTAGGTCTACAGGAGCAGAAGAAAGTGCAGATGAAAGACCCTTTTCTGCAGAAGTTTTGGGACAGTGTCCGAGAGTAAGTCGAGCACAAGACAGAGGAAATTATTAAAAGACTTACAAAACAGAGGACTGAAAAGGAGTATTGAACCGAACCTATCAAAGCAGTTCTATTGGGGAAGCTAAACCCATCAAAGGCAGTCAGAAACACTTCTATAACAAGGATTGAAATTTTAAGGTCAGGCATAAGGTCTTAGTTCTGCTACCCACAGCAACAACAAACTCACCCTGCAGTGGAAAGGACATTTTGCAGTACAAGAAGTAGTCAACCAAATGCACTATAAGGTGAAAGTGAATGGGATGACCAAGTTCTACCAGACCAATCTGTTGAAGAGGTACTTCAAGAGGGAAGAAGACCTTACGGGTGGACATGGCAGGTGTGGCTGTCATAGAAGCAGAATCTGAAGACAGTGACTTCGTTTTAGAATATAAAGACTTGTTAGGCCTACGACCACTGGATGGAGATGAGATATACAAAGATGTCAACATAAGTGAAGAACTGACTGGCAAGAGAAAAAAAAAAGTGGAACAAGATCTACTTTGTTAGTGTACAGATAGATTAGGAGAGACAGACGTCAGGCAACACAAGATCAAGACAAAGACAAGGGATCCTGTCAAGGTGAAGCCCTACCTAAGGCCCTACACAAGGAGAGACTGACAAAAGAACTGTAAATGTTGGTGTAGACTATATGAGAAGACTTAGTATATGAACTAAGAACAGTCTTTGTATATAGTGTAAAAAAATGTTGTAAATATTATTCTTGAAGAGGGCTTATTGTTGGATATATAAAACTGTTTAGTGTAAGTATTATTATTTAGTTTATTTTCTGGCTTAATATATAATGATTGTTTAGTTTTTGGAACAGGAGTGTTGAAGATAGATTGTTTTAAAAGTTATAGTTGTGACAAATTTTGTTATGTAACTCTGTATGAATCGTACATTGTGTTTTCAATTACAATGCTGTCTAGACTTTACTAATATTGTTGATGTCACATTACTCGAATCTTCAGTATTTTTCTTGTTATCTTAAGTTAGCATTGTTGCCATACATTGTTGCATAGCTTAGAGAAAGTTTGAGGCCTCAATTGGGCAACATATGAATATAGGCGATCAAGAGAGCGCAAGTCAAGTGAAGTGAATTAACGAAAAAGTGCAGTTCAGTCAGAAAATTAGATAGCAAAAGAAAATGTGAAGTTAGCTGGTGTGTGAGTGATTAGCCATAATGAGCAATATTTTAAAGTGAGTTTCAAAGTTTAATAGAGATAAGGAGAATAATTTGTTTTGTCAAAGGGTGTTCTAAAGTAATTCAACCGATCTGTATGGACTTTGACAAAAAGGAGACAATTATTTAAAGCTCTGGATACAACTGTGGATACAACAATTATAGTGGTGATTTTAAAGTGAGTATCACAGCCTTGTATTGTAATAACAGAGATGAGGAGAATAATGTGTCTTGTCAAAGGGTGTTCTGAAGTAATTGAACCTGCCTATGTGAACTTTGAAAAAGAGACATTTATTTAAAGCTCTGGATACAACTGCATAACCAGTAGTGTAACGAATTTTTGTATATACATTTGATTTGTTTTGAATATAATTATTTTAAAATAAGTGGATTGCGTGTTATCCATTTATTATGGACATTTATCACCAACAAGTCACAGACACCTACTGTAAAGAATCTGGCCTTGAAAAACCTGACAGTAATTATTAATTAGTAACTAACTAGTTTTATCCTGCATTCCAGTGCTAATATGTTGTCATCTTCAGGGAAGTCCTGAGAAGGACTATTTCTATGTTGGTAGTGGAAGTGATTCAGTTCTGGTTTTTCTTGATGGAAGTCTGATGTGTTATCCACTCAACTAGGGTCTTCCCCGTTAAAGCTTGAAATAATTAATTACTTGAGTATTTTCAAGAGGGGCATTCAGGTTTTGCTGACTTCTGTATTAGGTTGGTTGAATGTATTATCAGTTAGGTAAAAGTAGAAGGCTTTTTTTTTCTTTTGTGTGATTGGCATGTTATTATTCCAATTTATATGGTTTTCTTCTCTAGAATATGACGGGCTTTTGCAGATTGATAGATATTACTGAGTCTTGTATGTCTGTTATGTTCTTGAAATCTTTCTTTGGATTAGCAATCAAAACATATGACAAAGTTATGTATTAATTAGTATCTAGTTATACATAAAAAATAAAGTTACTAATTAATAATAAGGCTTAGGTGATATTATAGATCTGGTTGCTACAACCTTATTATAAGTACTTATCACAAACTTGCACTTAACATGTGGAATTTTAGTGTTTACCTTTTCAATTGGACATTTATTTGAAAGAGCATTTTATAATGAGTTGTTTTTGGTGTCTAGTATATGAAGTTATAGTTTCCTAGAGATGCATTAAAACAATGAAAATCAAATTATTTAATTGTAATATCTGCTGTATATCAGGTAGTTTTGCATAATGGTCTGAGAACAACCTACACATAAAGCTATGTTGTAGATAGTACTTTAACTGTGCCCATTGTCTGATAAAAAGATATGTTACTTCAAATACTGGAACATACTTTATGGGATAAAAGAAATAAAGATTTTAAAGCTTAGAAAAGACATACTTTTGGTAATAATTAATCTGTTGTGGAGATGAACTATACCTTGAATGAATTACCATATATGTAAGACCAATTTTTGTACTTCAACAAATATGTATGTTTCAGGATGGTATGAGGGAGAACGAATACGAGATGGAACAAGAGGATGGTTCCCATCAAAATATGTTGTAGAAGTTATCAGCTCCCACATTCGAGCACGTAATTTACGGCAGCGCTACAGATTACTGGTGTTGACACACTCTCTTGTAGAAGAGCAACTAAAGAGTCAACAGAAGAAGAAAAGTAATAGATGATATTGACAGGTAGTCACATGAAAGATGGTAATCTTACTTTTTCCAGGCTGTGATGCATATCAAACAAATCACATATAAAATCTGGAAACTGAATAAGCAGTTGATTTTCCACACTTTAAATGAAAGCATTTTTTGAGAAAAAAAGGAACTGTTCCATGTAAGGATTTGCTTATGTGACTGCTTAGCGTATTTATAATGCGACATTAAACATACCTTAAGTTTATAAAATCCATCTGTTAATTTTCCTGTCTTTTCTGTGTGTGAGTAGGTTAGTCCATTGATCAACAAAAATCTAGTCGTAGTTCTTGACATGGAGTAAAAAGGTATTTTATGTGAAACATGAACACATTAAACTTGTAATACAAGCATAAGAATATTAAGTTCAATTCAGTAAGCTAGTTAACTAGCATTAAAATCACTAAGAAAAAAATAATAATTTGAAAATCATTAATAATGCTTCTATGATAGAACAACAGATCAGGTTGGGAGCAATGCATTATGTGATCAATTGGCTACTGTTTGTTGTGCCACATAAATTTTCTTCAAGAAAAATATTATTCATATTTTAGTGTTGGTGTTTGAGTTGAAACTCCAGCAAATAATCAGTGAAACTTTTCTCCATCTTAATTTTGACTTTATTTTATAATAATTTCCATCTTTTTCATGTTAATAAAAATCATAAAAGATATTTTTTTGTAAATTAAGATTGAAAAGAAGTTGTAGTACAGATTTTCATTTCTTTATTTTAAGTCAAAATACTTTACCCAAGGCTATATATACATAACAGAAACTTTTTAAATGTATTTCATGCTTTTTGAAATTTCTTCTATTTGTAAGTTCAACATTTATAAATAAAAAGCATTAAAAATGTTTACAGGTTGTGGTGAGCAAACAAAGCAAACAACATCTCTTAGTGATATATGATACCACTAAGAAGAACTTACTGAAAGTCAAGAATCCATATTCATTGTTTAACACTTAAATTTTTTAAAGTTTTGCAGAACTTTACTTCAGTGAATTTCATTCATACTATATGGACTTTGAAGTTTGAATTTTCATATTGCTTTATCTACATTGTTATTGAAAATTTTTTGTCTTGTATAACATTTTAAAATTCTGATTATTAAAAAAACCAGAAGAATTAGAAATTCAAAACAGTAAGTAATTTTAATGTACAATATTATGTACATTCAAATTCCACAAGCTGTTAAAAATCAAACATTTAAAAATTAATAAAGAAGTTCTAAGTGTATTGACACTACAATATTTAAAAAAAGCATGATAATAAATGTTTAATTTATTGGAAATCTACCATTGATAATATTTCTATAATAAAATCTGTAATGTTAATCATATTATGAAATTCAACACTTTAATAAATATTAATTATATTCAAATTGTACAGCAATGAGTAATCAAAATCAACAATTCAAGATAAAGCCTATTTGTATTACGTCTAGTCAACCCCCAAGACAACCAAACCTGACACTTAAATAGCAAATTTATTCAAACCATGGAGTAGTCAAAAAAGATAAGTTCAATATTGATTCTATTTAAATCACAACCTATTCAAAACAATGTAACATCAAGGTTATTAAAACCACAGAATAATCATGAGTAGCCATTGAGTACTGACTATTCAAACCATAAGACAAGTCAGCAGACAGTAGGTGCCTGGGGATTGGAGGGTTGCTTATGTTATGATAAGAGTTTTCTTGGAAATCACAGGCCAGTTAGTCTTACATCTGTAGAGGGTAACATTTTATAGTCTGATTAAAAAACTTTTACTGCAATCTTATTGAATTTTATTGAAAAAGAAAAATACATAAAAGGATAACAAGGGACCTTTTGGTCCATCTAGGCCATCCTCACCACTAATTTAAATTAAAAACAAAAAACAAACCATCTCTTATCATTCAAATATTTATCAAGCTTTCCTTAAACTCCCTTCATTTAATTGCATCTACCCTATCTGAAGGTAACCAAAGACCAACCACCTTGTAAGAAAAATAAAAATGATTCCTCCTTTGCCAAAATTTATATTTGTGTTCCTTAGTCTTACCATTCTCATCATTAACTATGAAAAAAGATTAGACATCAACACTATCAATTCCATTAACAATCTTAAACACCTCAATCAGATCCCCTTTAACTTTTTTTCTCAAGAGAAAACAAATTTAGAGATCTTACCCTATCTTCATTCAACAACTTTTCATCCCAGGTATCATCCTAGTAACCCTTCTCTTAACTCTTTCCAACAATTCAATGTCCTTTCTAAGGTAAGGAGCCCAATACTGAACACAATATTCCAAATGTGGCCTAACCAGTTACCTATACAATGAAATTATAACCTCTTTTGATTTGTATTCAATATTTCTGTTTGCCCTTCCACTAGCAACAATTGACTTTTTTTTGAGCATATATTATTTTTTAAAGAAGTGGAATGTGTGCTGTTTGTTTATTGTTGAAACTTATCACCAACAAGTCACAGACACCTACTGTAAAGAATTCTGCCCACACACTACATACATAGAAACCTGGCATCCACTATGCCATCAGAAGATGGATAAAAGTCTTTTGTCCTAATATTTTTTATTCCAAGGATCTGACATCTTTCCACAAATAAAGCTGATTCGAAGTTTCATCCTTGATCTGAGAGAAGTTTCATAGGCACTCCAAATCTTGAAACGAATTTGTTGACGAGTTTAAATGGCTAGAGATTCTGTTTCCTGTTTAGGAAAAGTATATGCTTCTGGCCATTTAATGAAGTAGTCCATCAAAATCATGATGTATTTATTCCAATTGTTACTCTAGCAGAGTACCAAGCACATTGACAGTAACTCAGTAACTATCTCAAGTGGTGCTCCAACACAATACTGCTTATGTTGCTTTTTTCATGGACTTTTTCACTCGCAGCATAGTTCGCATGAGTTGCACCAATTCTCTACACACCCTGGAACACAACCTATTACAAGCATTCTCGTACTTACTCTGGTGTCTTTTTTAGTGCATACATGCCCAGTCTTTGGAAGGCTTTTGAGATGATTAGGTGCTTTGGAATATAGAGACAGTTGATGTTCCAACTGTAGTAATTTGTTTATGTCCACTGGTATCTTTCCATTTCGAATATAATATACCCTCTTATAGAAATAAGGAATTCCACTGTACCCAATGCATCTTTGTTTTCGGGTCTTCTTGCATTACTCTTGAGCTACTTGAATAATTGGTTTCAAACACATGTCTTTTTGTCTGAGCATCTTTCAGTTGAGTTTTGGCCCCCCAATGGCACAGCGGTATGTTTGTGGACTTACATCGCTAGAAACTAGGTTTTGATACCCGTGGTGGGCAGAGCACAGATAGCCCTTGTGTAGCTTTGTGCATAATTAAACACAAACAAACAAACAATCAGTTGAGTGTTGTATCACACTAGTTCTTCATCATCACTTGTGGATTCTGCACTGTGGTGAAAAAAAAAGAAATCTCTAATATAATCATCAAACAAGTGGTCCGCTGTATAATATAAATGATAAACTAGGTGCAATACCTATCATTTGAATGTGATATTATTCACATACTTAAGTTGATTTATTGTATGGCAATAACAGATAGACAAACAACGATTTATAAGCATAAGGAAAACTTTTATTGGTGGTGGAACATACTACATGTTTCGACAGAACATTGTTTTTTTTTAGGTATGATCAGTATTAAGCAATACAAGGTTTATATATTGTTATGTCTCTGATCGTTAGTTAATTTTCCGTAAAAAATATTTCCGATGAAACTTTAGTGACACAAGTCCTTTCTTAAATAAAACTGGTTTATTCTTTCTGAATACAACTCTGCAATACACTGCAAGGTTGTTACAGTCATCTGGATTCAAGGCCAGAAAAGGTCAGCTTTCAGAGAGGTTTGAGGGACTTTGCTGGCACTGTAACAAACCTGGGCACAA